TTCTGAGTTCAGATTTCCCCATCCACTCACCCCTCCCCACTCCCCAGGATGGTAAGTAAGTTTAATTTAAATAATGAATAGACTCGATTAGATTGTTAGACCTCTGAGGTTTACAGTATTACCAGCAAGTAAAATGGGAGGTAAATTTCCTCAAATGCTTGTGATGGATGCTTCCAGTCTTTTAAATTTTATAAATCTGGCATTAAAAATAGTACTTTAGCCCTGGCTGGTGTGGCTCATGGTTGTAGGACAGGTCCCTAGTAGGGGTACCAGAGAGGCAACCCATGCATTGATGTTTCTCTCCCTTTCTGTCTACCTCTTTTCTCTTTTCTCTAAAAATAAATAAAATCTTTAAAAAGTAAAAGAATAAATGAATGGAACTTTATTTTTATATTTAAAAATTTATTTATTCTAGAGAGAGGGGGAAGGAAGGGAGAAAGGGAGAGAAATATCTATCAGTTACCTTTTGCATACACCAACTGGGGACCTGGCCTGCAAACCCAAGCATGTTCTCTGACCAGGAATTGAACAAGAGACCTTTTGGTCTGCAGTCTGACACACAGCCCACAGGCATAACAACCCACTGAGCCACACCAGTCAGTACTTTATTTTTTAAATTTGCATCTCTTTAATATAAGACATGTATTTATTTATTTTTAGAGAGAGGGGAAGGAGAGAGAAAGAGGGGGAGAAAAACATGATGTGTGAGAGAAACAGGTATTGGTTGCCTCTCTCACTCACGAAACCCAGGTGTGTGCCCTGACTGGGAATGCAACTGGCAACCTTTTGGTCCACAGGCCGGGGCTCAGTCCACTGAGCGACACCAGCCAGGGCAATACATACATCTTTTTAAAAAGGATTGATATGTTCCAACATAGTAAATTTCTCCATTCAGATGAGAATGCATTTGTTTTGAAACTTCTTTGGAACTGTGAAAGACATTTCACATTCAGAAGCTGATTTATACTCCAGAGTATATAGTTGTAGTATGTCTCCAGGGTGCATGTGTGTGGGTGTAGATACATTTTTTGACTTAAAGCATTTAGTCAACAGATTAATGGGAGAGATCACAATACCAGAAGCTGGGTTTAAATTTATGTTACATCTGTGTTTATATGTATTTGAGAGTAGTATCAATGAGGTTTCTGAATGTTTCCATTGAAAAGACTGAGTGCTGCTGCTATATGGTTTTTAGAAAATGTGCCTTGCTTTCAGATATGTATCCTTTAGTAAGTTGATTAAGGAATACTCTACCCTAGAGCTTCCTTATGATGAACAGGTTAGAGGAGTACCCATCAGCCCTGGGGCAACTAGTAGGGCCCTTGGCCTGCCTGGGCTTGTCTGTTTACCTCAGCATTCCTTTACAAGTATTTTGTGTACATGATACAAGAAAGGTTGAGAAGCACTGACTTAGTATGCTTTTTAGCCTGTAAGTGGTCTTGATATAACATAGAAAAATAAAAATTACGAATGATAAGTAATCTATAACTGGAGAGTTAAAGTGGATTTTCTTTTCTTTTGTCACTTTTTACTAAAAGTTATTGTAGTATATTACCTACTAAGCACCAGTGCTGTTATTTTCTACACGACTTATACTTCATTATGTAATAACTTTGTGTTTGGATTTAAGCTACTTTTAAGTTTCGTAAGTGGGTTCTAATACATTATACAGGGTGGGGCGAAAGTAGGTTTACAGTTGTGAGTGCGTGAAATACAGAGTTTATTCTTGTATTATTATTTATTATTGTATTATATTCCATATGAACAACTGTAAACCTACTTTTGCTCCTGTCCAATGCAGTCTTCCCCCACAATTAAATACAGAATGCAATTTATTGCAGTTTGTCTTTTGCTCAATGGTAGTTTTTAAAAAAATATATACTACCAAGTGGAGGTTTAATTCATACTAGTACTTCTAGGGTCTTTTCTATAAAAAACACCTCATCATTCTAGCATTATTCTGGTTCCTAACTTAATTAATTTAATAAATATTTATGTGCCTTCATGTTCCAGGTTCTGTAATTTAGGACTAAGAATACAGTAGTGACCAAGATCATCAGAGTGTTGCCCTCATAAAGCAGAAGGAGGGGCGGGGTCGTGACCAGATCTGTAAATACTCTAATGTAGTAGTGAGTGTCAGGAAGAAAATAAGACAGGATCATTTGCAGGGGCTAGGGGAATGGTATCTTTTGGCTAAGGTGGCTAGGGAAAGTGTCTTTAAACAGGTCTTTTAGGTGGAGATCTCAATGATGAGAAAAGTCCAACTTGCTTATTTCTGGAGGTTTTAACCTTCCAGGTGAAGGGAATAGGTTCAAAAATTCCAAGGTGTGAAGCTTGGCATATTCAGAAAGAAGTATTTTAGCTTTTATTCTGAATCTTAAATGGGAGGGCCAGGATGAGTTGCATTTTAAAGATTGCTCTGGCCCTGACTGGTGTGGCTCTGTTGGTTGTGCTTTGTTTGTTAAAGTGAAAGGTTGCGGGTCTGATTCTTGGTCCCACCATAGGCCTGGGTTGTGGACCTGGTCCTTGGTTGGGGCCATGCAAGAGGCACCAGTGCATGTTTCTCTCACACGTGGATGTTTCTTCCCCTTTCTCCTTTCTTTCCCCTTTCTCTCAAAATAAATAAACAAAATTTTAAAAATTGATCTAGCTACTTTATATATTTAGGTCACATCATTTCAGACTAGTGAGATGCTGAAATGAGTCATTTCTCTCATCTGATTGTAAACTCCTTTATGACTTCCTCATTAGTTAGGGAAAAAAGACCTAGGGAAGGTAGGAACTATGGGTGCCCCTAAAAATGTGACCTCATGGTAGCTGAGGCATAGAGTTGGAAGTGTGTTGGGGCTCAGGTTGAAGTGCCAGAGGTGGAGGCAGCGTGTCATGGCCCTGCCACTTGAAGGCTGTGGGATCTTGTCCCACGCTTCCCCTTTGCAGAAGTAAAATAGGTAGGTAGAAATTTATAGTGTAATAGTAAAATATAAAAAGCAGGAAGTAAATAGATAATGTTTAAAAAGTAAAAATCCCTCACAATTTTGAAATAATCACTGTTAATATTTGTTTATTATTCTAGATTTTTCACTTTATGATTTTCTCCCTCTTTGTAGATTAAATAAAAAGGTTCAAACTGTATTTTTTACTTTTTGTTCATCTTGGGTAGCTTTTTCTATGTGCATACATATAAATGCACTTGATATATTACACGGATATAATATGATTTGTTTAATTCCCTATTGTTAGGTGTTTGGTCTCTTTCATTTTCAAGGGTATGAACAGTGCTGTGGTGCAGATGCTTGCATGTACATCTTTATACACTTCCTGTAGGCTGAAATCCTATTGTAGAATTTGAATTACTAGATCAGTCTTTAGGAACATTTCAAAATTCTAATAGTTATTACCATATGTTGCAAAAAATGTTATGCTAAGACTGTGTGAGAATAATGCCATGTTGTGATTTTGAGTAAATCTCTAAACCTCTTTGGTTTTCTCAGCTGTCAGCTAAGAATAGTTAATATCTTTCATCAGCTCTTGATTTAGGCATGTGATGTGAGAAAAAGCTTTTAGCACATAGCCTGTATTTAGACAAAAACTACTAATTAAAAAAAGAGGTTTGAATTAAGTGAGCTTTTAAGTCTAGGCCATTTAAGCTCTGATTAAATGATTTCAAGTGTCAGTGTTACAGATGAGAAGGTAAGGGCTCTGGAGTCAAAGCTGCCAGTTTTGAATCCCAGCTCTGCCACTGAAAGCTGTGAGAATTTTCTCAGTTGTAAAATTGGGGTGTAATTCCTGCCTAGAGTACCACTCTTAAAGATTAGGTTGAATAATATGAGTAGGATGTGTATAGTCTATACTGTCTCGTAATAATAGGTACCTAATGAATGATGGCTATTGTTAATAATAGAACAAAACAAGTTTCTGAAGGAGGAAGGCTTCAGAAGGATGTGACTGTCAGCTTTCTAAAGAAGGAAACAAACATTTCATTTCTATGTGGTTGCTGACTCTGTGGACTTCTATTGTAGTTTTCTTGTTGCTCAATAAAACATTTGGTTATTTTTATTTAAGTGACTGTCTCTGCTTGCTTCTGTTTATGAGTTTTGTTTCTAAAGCTGAACTCAATATAGTGGTAGAAAGTTCATGGACTTTAAACACATAGAATCTGGTTATTTTACTTATCACCCGGTGTTCTTGGGCAGGTAGCATGACTCCTCTGTGCCTTATTTGTTTAAACAAATAAAGGGTGGCTGAAGGAAGGGATTTAAAGTCTTATACAAATTAAATGAGGTAATTTATATATAAAGTGTCTAACACATCCTAGAAGTACTCATTTCTTTTCCCTTCTTGAAGGCTCACACTTTAGAAATGATTTCTCATAGTACTAGCGTATTATTCATACTCAAGTGTAGTGGCTCATACTTAATATACAATAACTGAAGAAGAGCAATGTAATTGTAAAGGTATTAGACTGGAAGTCAGGAGACCTGGGCTCATGTTCCAGGTTGGGTTTTAACTGGTGGTATAACCCTTGATGAATCTTTTGATTTTTAGCCCCCACTTTGCTAATTTTTTAGTTGTCTGTGAAATATTTTATAGAAATGTACTAATATGGAAGTTTTCTGATTATTTAAGCAGAAGGTATCACTTATAAGAAAGCTTTAAAATAGTCAAATCTATAAAATCAAGAGTGGAATGGTGGTTGCCACGGGTGGGGGTGAGGGGGAATAGAGAGTTATTAATTAAAGTACAAAAAGTTTTTCTTGAGCAAGATGAGTAAGATTTAGAGAGCTGTACAACACAGTACCTGTAGTCAACAATATTGTACACTTAAAAATTGTCAAAAGTATCTCATGTTGTGTTATTACAAAAATAAAAGTAAATAAGCAAAATTAAGTGCTTAAAAAAAAGGAAAGCCCACATACGACTATTTTCACAATTTATATATTGTGCTGTTGAGTTAATTGCCTGTGTTTTAGAATTATTTGTCTTTTTTTTTTTTTAACCAGGTTTAAGTACTGTGTAAACTGCATCAATGGAGCACATACAGGGGGCCTGGAAGACGATCAGCAATGGTTTTGGATTCAAAGACGCAGTGTTTGATGGCCCCAGCTGCATTTCCCCCACAATAGTTCAGCAGTTTGGCTATCAGCGTCGAGCATCAGATGATGGCAAACTTACAGACTCATCTAAGACAAGCAATACTATTCGTGTTTTCTTGCCAAACAAGCAAAGAACGGTGGTACGTGAACATTCCTCTCAGAAAATTCAGTTGTCCATCTGCTCATAGCAAACATTATGTATGATGTTGCCCATTTTATAAATAGGCAAAATCTTCACTGTCACTTAAGGTCTTTATTAATTGCTTTTTCAGTTGAAGATTTTATTACTTTATATGGCTGTGTTCCTTTTATACCCTCTATTTTTCCCAACCCTTGGCCTTTTATTACTGCTCTTGCCTGGTATGTCTTCTTTTCTGTACTTTATCCAAACAGATGGTACATTCTTATGGGGATATATTTCAAAGACTTTCTTTTGGAAAGCTCCTTTAAACCTTACTAGCTAACTTTAAAAAATTATTGATGATTAAAAACTATTTTTGTCTGAATATTAAAGCAAAATTTTAACTTAATTTTTTTGGATATTACAGTCAAATACTTAGAAGAAAATAAAATTATTTGGAAAAATTATTTTGTTAATGTTCATGGGTTCCAGGCAAAGCTGAAGGAGCTTAGAAATGAGGGGATCATCTTCTTTTCCAGAGCATTGGCACTAATCAGCTATTTCTGCAGAGCTTATTTTTGTAGTGCCAGTGAGAGATTAAATTGGCATCATGGTAGGATGCTGCCACTCACTTTTCTGACACAAACACCCAACTTTTAAAAAAATTACTGCACTGACTGGTGTGGCTCAGTGGGGGACATTGTCCTGAAAGCTGAAAGGTTGCTGGTTTGATTCCTGGTCAGGGTACATGCCTGGGCTGTGGGCCAGGTTCCTGGTTGGAGGTGTGCAGGAGGCAATCGGTGTTTGTTTCTCTCCCTCTTTCTCTCTCCCTCCCTCTCTCTCTCTCTCTCTCTCCCTCCCTCCCTCCCTCTCTCTCTCTCTCCCCCCCCACCTCTCTCTCTCCCCCTCTTCCTCTCCCTCCCCCTTCCTCCCCCCCCAAAGGTAAATAAATACAATTAAAAAAAAAATTAGTGCTCAAAAAAGCTTTCTACTATTCTGGGGGGAGGGGGAAAACCCACTTAGTTGAAACAGTAAAGTGAAGCTGTGCTCATTGTGCTGGTGGGACATTTGAGAAAACCTTAGTTCAAACGTCTACATCTCCTCCTTGCCCACTTTCCATTCTTTGTGTAAAATCGGTGCATTATGTTTATTCTTCCTACTTAGGAGAGGAGATGCAGGGTACTGAGCCTGGGGGGGTCCAGTTCAGAGTTTTCAGTTTGTTCTAACAGTTCCACTCTTCCCAGTTTACTAATAAATTTCTTTACACTTCTTTTGTGAACCTAAGGAGCCTTCCAGTTATAGTATTGTATTTAGATATGTTTGAACTGGAGGCAGAATTCAAAGGGCATTTAAAGTTTGAGTAAATTTGTTTTTGCTTTCTTTCCTAAAAATTAAAGTTTAATGATTGGCAAAATAAACAGTAATAATCCCCTTACAGTTCAGCAGTGGTTTTTCATTTGCAAAGTAATTTTAACCTACTATTTCAATTTCCTAATCTTAATTGGAGAGAGCTCAGGTGGGAAGTGTGAATGTAATGGGAAGCTGTTGCTGTTGCTGGGTGTTACTGTGGCTGTCTCCTTTATCCCCATATTAGTGTACCTGGGAGACTGGGAAACTGAGTTTGGCATAATGATTAAGTGTATGGATCTTTAAGACGAGCAGGCCCAAATTTATTTTGTTTTACTTCTAAAAAATTATGTTTTATTGATTATGCTATTACAGTTGTCCTAATTTCTCCCCCATTGCCCCACCACCACCTCACAGCACCCCCCACTCCCTCTGGCAATCCCCCCAGCATTGTTCATGTCCTTGGGTCATGTGTATATGTTCTTTGGCTCTCCATTTTCTGTACTGTACTTTATATCCCCATGGTTATTCTGCAGCTACTTATTTGTACTTCTTAACCCCCTCACCTCTTCACCCATTCCCCCACAGCCCCCTCCCATGTGGCAGCCATCAAAATGCTCTCCATATACCATGATTCTGTCTCTGTTCTTCTTTGCTTAGTTTGCTTTTTTAGATTCAATTGTTGATGTGTGTGTGTGTATATATATATAATTTTTTTGCCATTTTATTGTCCATAGTTTTGATCTTTTTCTGAAATAAGTACCTTTAACATTAAATTAGTAATGGTTTGGTGATGATGAATTCCTTTAATTTTTCTTGTCAGGGAAGCTCTACAGCCCTTCAATTCTAATGATAGCTTTGCTGGGTAGAGCAGTCTTGGACGCAGGTGCCTGCTTCTCATGATGTTGGATATTTCTTGCCAGTCCCTTCTAATCTGCAAAGTTTCTTTTGAGAAATCAATGGACAGTTTTATGAGAACTCCCCTGTAGGTAACTAACTTACTATCTCTTGCTGCTTTTATCTCTTTATCTTAAACCTTTGCCATTTTAATTGTGGTGTGTCTTAGACCGGGCCTGTTTGTATCCATCTTACTTGAGACTCTGTGCTTTCTGGACTTGTGTGTCTATTTCCTTCACTAAATTAGGGAAGTTTTCTTTCACTGTTTTTTCAAATAGATTTCTGGTTACTTGCTGTTTATCTCCTTCTGGCACCTCTGTGATGCAAATGTTGGACCTCTTGAAGTTGTCTCAGAAGCTGCTTATATTACCTCCATTTTTTGGGCTTCTTTTTTCTTCTTGTTCTGATTGGTTGTTTCTTGCTTCCTTATGTTCCATGTCATTGATTTGATTCTCACCTTCATCCACTCTACTGTGATTTCCCTGTAAATTGTTCCTTTTGTAAAAAGTATATTTTATTGATTATGTTATTACAGTTTTCCCAATTTTCCCTCTTTATCCTCCTCAATCCTGCACCCCCAACCCTTTAGCGTTCCCCCCTTAGTTCATGTCCATGGGTTGTACATACCAGTTCTTTGAATTTTCTGTTTCCTGTGCCATTCTTAACCTCTCCCCATCTGTTTTATGCCTACCAATTATGCTTCTTATTCCCTGTACCTTCCCCTCCTTTCCTCCTCTCCCCCGCCCCACTGACCCTCCATGTGATCTCCATTTCTCTGATTCTGTTCCTGTTGTAGTTGTTTGCTTAGTTTTTGTTTTTTTCCCTTCCTTCCTTCCTCCCTTCCTCCCTTCCTCCCTTCCTCCCTTCCTCCCTTCCTCCCTTCCTCCCTTCCTTTCTTCCTTCCTTCCTTTCTCTTTTTTTTTTGGTTCAGTTGTTGATAGTTGTGAGTTTATTGTCATTTTACTGTTCATAGTTTTTGATCTTCAATTTCTTAGTTAAGTCCTTTAACCTTTCCTGTAATAAGAGGAACTACTTTATTAGTTCCTTTACCTTATCTGGGAAGCACTTTATCTGCCCTTCCATTCTAAGTGAAAGCTTCGCTGGATGGAGTAATCTTAGATGTAGGTCCTTGCTTTTCATGACTTCAAATACTTCTTTCCAGCCCTTTCTTGGCTGTAAGGTTGCCTTTGAGAAGTCAGCTGATAGTCTTATGGGCACTCCTTTGTAGGTAACTGTCTCCTTTTCTCTTGCTGCTTTTAAGATTCTCTATCTTTAATCCAGGTGAACTTAATGATGATGTGCCTTGGTGAGTCCCTGTTTGGGTCCAATTTCTTTGGAACTCTCTGAAATTCCTAGACTTCCTAGAAGTCTGTTTCCTTCGCCAGATTGGGGAAGTTCTCCTTCATTATTTCTTCAAATAAGTTTTCAATTTTTTGCTGCTGTTATTCTCCTCCTGTACCCCTATAATTTGGATATTGGAATGTTTAAAGTTGTCCTGGAGGTTCCTCAGCCTCTCTTCACTTTTTTGAATCCTTGTTTCTTCATTCTGTTCCAGTTGGATGTTTCATTCTTTCTTTTGTTCCAAATTGTTCATTTGAGTCCTGGTTTCCATTCTGTCACTATTGTCCCCCTGAATATCTTGCTTTATTTCACTGTGGGTATCTTTCATTTGTTCTTTCATTTTGCAACAAAGCTCAGTCAGTTCTGTGAGCATTTTAATTACCAGGATTTCAAACTCTCCATCAGATAGGTTGGCTATCTCCTCATCGCTTAGCTCTTTCTCTGGAGTTTTGCTATATTCTTTCATTTGGGCCATATTTCTTTGTCTTGCTGCACTGTCCTGATTTATCTGGTTGACTGTTTCTTTAATTCCTTGGTTGTTGGATATCCATGCAGTTTGATTTTCTGGCACTTGTGGTTGTTTATTGATTTTAGATTGGTTGTTAGCCTCCTTTTACTTTTAGGTTGTACGAGGAAGCAAAGGGTTTCTATCTACACCTAAATTATTCTTTATTTCAATTAGTGTATCTTTCATTTCTGACTGGATCTTTTTTTTTTTTTTTGAGAAAAAAATCTTAAAAAAATATTTTATTAATTATGCCATTACAGTTGTTCTATTTCCCCCTTCATTCCCCTCCACCCTGCACACCCCTCCCCTACCATTCCCCCCTTTAGTTTATGACCACGTGTCTCAAGTTCTTTAGATTCTATATTTCCCATACTATTCTTGCCCTCCCCTCTATTTTCTACCTACCATCTATGCTACTTATTTTCTGTACCTTCTCCCCCCTTCTCCTTCTTCCACTCCCCTGTTGCTAACCCTCCATGTGATCTTCATTTCTATGGTTCTGCTCCTGATCTAGCTGTCCTCTTAGTTTGCTTTTGTTTTAGGTGTGGTTCTTAGTAACTGTGAGTTTGCTGTCCTTTCACTGTACATATTTTTTATCGTCTTTTTCTTAGGCAAGTCCCTTTAACATTTCATATAATAAGGGCTTGGTGATGATGAACTCCTTGCATTTGATCTTATCTGAGAAGCACTTTATCTGTCCTTCCATTCTAAATGAAAGCTTTGCTGGATAGAGCAATCTTGGTTGTAGATCTTTGGTTTTTATGACTTGGAATACTTCTTTCCAGCCCCTTCTTGCCTGTAAGGTCTCTTTTGAGAAATCTGCTGACAGTCTGATGGGAACTCCTTTGTAGGTGACTGTCCCCTTATCTCTTGCTGCTTCTAGCATTCTCTCCTTCATTTTAATCTTGGCTAATGTAATTCTGATG